TACTCTCTTTCTTTCTATCAATGAAAAGATAAGCTCTCAAGCGTATTCCCAGGAAAAAAAAGTTCGATCACCCCCATTATCTGAAACATGATTTCAGAACTCACATAGCTATTGCTTCCTGACCTGCGGCTCTTCTCTCGTTAACTCCAAAACATTCGTCTCAACACATTAACTTAGCAGTGACCAAGGGTTGCAGATCCTCCAAACAAAACAAGGTCTAGATTGCCATAGATCAGCGATTCTCGATGATGATTTTCGCATCGCCGACAATCGGTTGCAATGCCTGCACCAACGAGCTGACCCTTGGATCATCTTCATGGTAGTAGATTTTGACCCTCTCGATGCAAGGGTGCCTGCCTGTCCTGAGCCCGGCGGCGGTGCTCCCCTGGTTGACGACAGAGCAGATTCAGAATCCTTGCATGTACTGAATTCCTCCTGCATAATCGCAACATATCATTCGTCAGAGGTTCTACTACCCTAGCAGATCAACTGGTGTATAACTGTATATGCATAGTTTTGAGTAAGTATACCATTGTGAGCTTAAGTTTTAGCTCCTTCAGCTTGCACGAGCGCTGGAGAATGCGAAGCAGCGGGTAGAAGTCAGCAGCCATGTACCACTCACCCAGCACCAGGCTTGTGAGGTTGCTGAACATCGGGCATGTCCTCAAACTTCTCTCGAATGAGACCTTCATATTTATCAGAGGTAAAATCAAAATGATCAAAGACAGTGAGATGAATAGTTTGATTATTCGATATTTCCATGCTAGCTTGTTAAAATAAGACCAGCACATAAGACAGAAACAAGTAAGCTCAAAACGTGAAGATCCTCTGAATTTAAATCCGAGAAGCAACTATATAACAAAATCTAACTAAGGAAGCAAATATGTTCATCTAGACTTGTATGGATATGGTGAGAAGAAGAACTACTCCCTCCGTCCGGAAATACTTGTCATTAAAATAGATGTATTAGATGTATTTTAGTTCTAGATACATCAATTTTCATCCATTTTGATGACAAGTATTTCTGGACGGAGGGAGTAGTTTGTACCTCAGGTAATGGTGCATGCAACTCCAAGGTGGTGGCATGTGAGAGGCCATCTAGTAGACGATGATCCGCTATTGCGTTTCGCTTATAATAATGAAACCTAGTAGATGTTAGACTAACCGAGGCTGTCACTAGAGAAGACGGATCCCTAGTTACTATATATAGCACCAGGATCAAAGCTTGGGTCAACGATAGAGACATGGGTAAGGTTGCTAGCACAAATCACGAGACCATCGAAGATATGGCAACCAATGATAAGTAGAACCTTGAGTGACCTCGATGAGATCTCCTTCAAGTCCCACAAACCGCAGTTTTCCAGCTCTAAATGTTCAAGCACTGGGCAGTCGCAGTTCAGCGGCCTAAAGAATCCATGTCTCAACAAGCTAGATTGGAGCCTGACTGTTTTGAGGTGCTGAGAAGAAATCATGGATGTGCTATCCAGAAGGACAGTTCCAGAAACATGAAGGAGACGAACTTTGTGCATGATGGCATGTCGAATCCACTCACAACACGCGATACTATTAACATCGGGGGATGAGATCCGGACTTCATCCAAGGAAGTAGTGTTATCACGCAAGAGCAGCAGGTGGTACCCGAACTTCTCCAGCTTCTGGTGATTCATGAAGTCCTAGTGGTCGATGTGGATGTATGGAGTAGAAGCCCAGAGATTGTGCCACCTCGCCGAGAGTACACTTGTCGGGAACATCTGGAAGAGTGCCACCTTTACCTCCTCTTTGGTATATGCCGCTTCTAATATCTGGTTCATCTCCGGAGTTACTTTTCTCGGCACCACGTCCAGGACTCGGTTCATGTCATGCACTCCTTCTGATGTATATAAGTTACTGTAAAAATCTGTAGCGTGAGCCTCCATCTCTGAAATCTCCTCTGTAACTCTCCCATCTGATAATTGCAATGACTTAATTTGATTTTTCCGTCTACGTCTGCTTGCCCGTAATTGAAAGAAATAAGTATTCTTATCACCGTGGACAAGCCACTCAACACGCGCCCTCTGACGCCATAAAATCTCTTCTCTGTGAAAGAGTTCTACCAGCCTATCACAGATCTTTATCTCTGCATGCGTAGGTTCTGTCCGACTAGGGACAGCGCGCACGATGGAAAGTTGCTGCTGCAAGCATCGGATCTCACGTCTCACATTCCCAAATACATCCCGATCCCATGCAGACAGACCAGACGATAGTGATTCCAGCTTTTGTTTAATCCCCTGAACAGTGTTTTCCTGTCCCCTACCCCAGCTTTCAGCGACTGTGTTTGCTAGCTCATCATGGGATTCCCACATCACTTCGTATTTAAAGCTCTTGGGCCTACTAGTGCATGCATGCACGTTGCTCATCCTGAGTAACAAGGCTACATGATCGGATGATGCTGCATTTTCATGACTCAATTCTGCATGCGGCATTGCGAGCGTCCAGTCGGCTGTAGCTACACATCTGTCAAGCCGGCGGGTATAAGTTTCCCGTGTCACCTTCTTTTCAAAAGTCCATGGATTACCCTTGAAACCTATGTCAGAAAGTCCACAGGTGTCCAAAGCATCTCTAAACGCATCCATTTGAGCTTGGCTCTGGCTGCCCACACCGTCGTGTTCAGTAGCATGGACCACCTCGTTGAAATCTCCCACTGCTGCCCACGGCAGTGTACTTGCTGCAACAATGCCTCGTAGTAGATCCCATGTCTTGTACCTCTCTGGGACTTGTGCCTCGCCATAAACAAACAGTTTTGCTAGAACTCATCTAGATGAGATATAATTTGGTCTCATTCATCTTTTATAGCCGTTGGATGTGATGGTATAAGATGCGTGTGTGCTGACGTGGGTTGTATTTGTTCTTGTTTTCAAAGTGAATGAGACCAAATTATGTCTCATCTAGATGAGTTCTAGGTACTCCCATAAACAAAGGTCAACCGAAAAGGGGAGTTGACAAGTTCCTCTATTTCCATATCTATATGATACTGGGAATAACAAATAACTTTAGCTTTTATTGAATCTTTCCAAAATACACCAAGACCACCACTCCTACCAGCACTACTGACTGCAAAACTTTTATCGAAACCTAGACTGTCTACCATACTCTCTACTCTAGAGCCCTCTATCTGAGTTTCAAGAATACATAATATAAAGGGGGCAAAACGCTTCGTTAGATCACGAAGCTCACGAACTGTCGCGGGTTTGCCAGCCCCGCGGTAGTTCCAACTTATGATACTCATTGGGCCCGGCGGCGCCCATCTTGTGAGCCCGCCAAATTCTTTGCAGCCAGAGCCGTATCATTGCCTTCATTGTTTGCCTTTGACCTCTTTGGATCCCTCTTTGGTGGTGGACTCATCGCAGGTGCAGCCTGCGGGATTATTGCAAGCTGGTTGTTTTTAAGATCCCCTACAATCTGCTCAGCCCCATTACCTCCTCCAGTTTGCACTGTGTTGTTTGATCTCTTCCTGCTAGGATCAAGCATATCAACGTCATGTTGTTCCTCTAGTGGCTCCTCAAAATCCTCATACCGGGGTGTGTTGTTTCTTCCTCCTCCACGCCCTCCGCGGCGGCCTCCTCGGCGGCCTCGACCCCGGCCAGGGCCACGACCGGTGCGCATATACCAATCTGCTCTGAGCTCTTTGAATACCAAGGCCGACGGAGGATGAATCCCGTTACCATGTTCCTTAAAGAGATGCCCCAACATACCACAAACCGCACACCAATCTGGCAGCTTTTCGTACTTGACTTTATAGATCTGTCGCTTTTGATCGCGGATCATGGAGACCGCGTTCTTGAGGGGTTCGTAACATTTATTTTGACCCACACACGGTAGAAATTTCCAGCAAAATCCTGGGATTGGGGCTCTACAAACAGCACATCTCCTACCTTTGCTGCCAGCGGCGCTACTAGGTGAGCATACGGATCCGGAACATCGTGGATCTGAATCCATATATCTATGGTGTCCAGTTTGATAGTTGATGGCTTTGTCACCCCGTCATATTCCACGGCCCATCTTGAGTAACTCTTTCCCAATCCCCCAGGCATGAAAACTGAATGGTATAGAGATTATCCTCTAGAGGCCTGAACTTTGCTTCTTGCGCCAGATCCCACGCAGAACGCATGTTTCTGCAGAATCAGGTCTGGCTATAGGTTTTATATGTATGAACCTGCGCCAGAGCTAACCATCGAGCGGCCACTTGAGGCGCCTCTTTCTCGTCGAAAACGACATCATCCAGCTCCTCGCGTACCCCCAACTCCTTCATCATCCTCTCGACATCGCTGGTCTCTGCTGATCCGGATGCCTTTTCTGAAGCCATGGAAGTCCCTAACCCGATTGCGAACGATCGAGTTGTTGTAGCGGAACCCTGTGCCCGTCGAGCCCTCGTCCTGCCGGTCCGAGCTCCGCTTAGACCCCTAGGATCAGAAGCCAGAAGCCAGGCCAGCCCTTCCAGGAGATCGGCGGCAGGGAAGATCAAAACCTCAGCGGCGGTGAGTCGCCTCCAGGAGGAAGAGAGAAACCCTAACGAGAGGGGAAAAACCCATCTGCTGCGATTCGCATCCTTCTATGATATCCTCTTTTCTTTTACGGCTGGGTATGAAAAGAAAAAAGCCCACATAGCTCAGGTCCGTAGACAAAACACAAAAAGTCAGACCTTGAACCAGATGGGCCGCGTCGCTAGCACAACAGAAACGCACAACGGCAGTGCAATCCCGGCGCGTGAGTTTCTCAAAAAAAAAAAAATCGGTGCGTGACGATCGGACGGTCAATATAAAGAGAGAGAGCGAGAGAGCAAATGGGTGATGATATCGCGAGCTTGATTACCGGCCGGAGACGCGCCGTCCTGGCTGCCTATAAAAGGGCTCCTCGTCTCATCTCACATCGATCCATGTGCATCATCCATCGATCACTCGAAACAAACCAACAAGGACAAACATTCTCTCCTGATCCGGATCCGCCGGCCGATCGACCTTTCCATGGGGCGCCGCTCTGGTACGTTTCTCCGGACCATCTCCGCCCTCATTAGCTAGACCAAATGCTCTATACTGTATGTGTCTATCTCTATAATATACGCGGACTGAAATCAAGTCCATGCATGCATATATATTAGAAATTTCTCGATTTCGATCGATCGATCGATCTATCTATCGAGATGTGCATATCCAGATCTCTGCGTTTGGTTCCATTTCCAAGACACAAACACCGGTTTATCGATGATGCAACTATGGATCTGATGAATTTCGCGTGCGTGCAGGAGGAGGAGGAGGCGGCGGCGGCTTCCGCAGCGCGCCACGGCCCGCAGCCCCTGCACCCAAGCCGGCGGCCAAGCAGTCGTCCGCCCCGGCGCCGGCCAAGACCGACAGCAGCAGCGCCCCGACCTCCATCTTCGGATCCATCGGCTCTGCCGTCGCCGACGGGGTCGGGTGGGGCGTCGGGACCAGCATGGCGCACCGGGCCATGGATTCCATAATGGGCCCGCGCACCGTCAGGGTCGTCGAGGAGCCGGCGCCCGCCGCGGACGCGTGCGGCATCCAGAACCAGGCCTTCAGCAACGTACGTGCAAATCTTGTTTTTGTTTCAGTATTTTCTAGTTTTTACAGGAATTGGGCTGGGTGCCATCATGGATCTGATCGTGGTACGTTGGCTGATGGAACTTGTGATGTATGTATGTGTATGCAGTGCATCTACGGCAACGAGAGCGACATCAGCAGGTGCCAGAACTACTTCGACCTGCTCTGCCAGTGCCGCCGCGGAGGAGGAGCAGGAGGAGCGGCCACCATCGCATAAACCCTACGGTTATTTCTAGAATATATATCATCCAGTCAGTCGTCCGTCCTTGAATAATGGAGTGAACAAGATATCTCTCATCCTTGTAACAGAACATTTTATATATCTTGTCTCTGTTTCCGAATTAACAAATTTAGCATTGTTTGATGCACGAGGTTGGTTTATACTCTTTGGTTACACGCTACGTGGGTCGACCAATGGACCACCACATACTAGTAAGGTACACGTGCAAGATTTGGTAACCAAATTATTAATAAATACCACCCTATAGCATGTGAGCTTTGAGTCGTATATGCATGTGTAGATGTTCGTTTAATTTTTATAGATCATCTCACTGAAAATCAAATTAGTTCTACATAATATCAAAGACTACATAATATAATACTACACAAAAACTTACGACAATATATCTAGCATATTTTTTCCTTAGGTTATCTTGTATTGCAGTCTTGAGTAGCTAGTATTGCATATCAAAGAAAAATAGATTTTAGGTGTGAATGACAGTCCATTTAGAAGAAATTTTTGGGAACATATGTATGGAAGAGTATAGAACAAGTGAGAAGTGTCTATGATGTGATGTTTGTGCATATTGTTCATTGCAAATCATAAAGTGAAAGAAAAAAAAGATTATTAAAGTATGGAAGATTTTGAAACAAAGGAGAAATGTTTATCCTTTGAGGTTTGTGCAAACCAGTACATAAGATTCTAGAAAAAAGTAGTGTATTTTAAGATTCATGGATTGCATTGTAAAGTATAAAGTGACAATTCATTTAGAATAAAAAGTTTAGACAATTATAATATGGAAGATTCTAGAATAAAGGAGAAGTGCATGTGTTTTGAGGTTTGTGCATTATGTTTAAGTTCAATCATGAAGTCTTCTACATTGTACATGTGATAGAATCTAGTGGAGTGTATAGATGATATTCAACGGCCAGTAGTGCTCGGATTTTTCATCTCTATACCGTCGGATTGGCTTCGTCCAACGACCAACTTTTAAAGTTATCCGCATACTATACAGGGGTATAGATATAGATTAAGACAGTTCCAGCGAACACGTCAGCTATCATTTCATCTAAAGTACACATCTTAAAGCTCAAGCAGCAGCCACGCCACCACTTTCTTCTCGTTCGTTGTGGGTTCTGTCGGTGCAACGCACACTTAACCTCTGAGCAGTACCCCATTTTCTCATCTCTCTCCTGCATACCCAAGGCCTGCTAGTTCCCGATGCCATCGCCCCTCTCCTATTTGGCGATCGCTGGTTCCTGAGGCCACTACCCCTCTCCTCTCTGACGACTGGTGCTACCTCGAGTCGTCGCCCTCTCCTCGCTACTATAAGGTCGCCGGCCATCAAATCTCCGAAAAATGACATCTGCACACGCTAGATCTTACCACTTTCCATTGCTCAAATGTTGCCCACGCTGCTCTTCGGCTTGCTGCTGTATAGCAAAGAAATCCTGCTGTTGAGCCTAGTGTATCCTTCATTTGTAGCATACTAGCCCGCGCCTCCTCCTGCAGTCTGACTTCTTCCAAACGGCCTATAGTACGTCATCGCAAGAAGGTGATCATCGTTGCAACGCATAAATGGGCTTTCATGTACGTGGAGATCAATGATGCATAACATATATACCTGCACTTGGTAGGTCATAGGGACGTGTAAAACCAAAATTGAGCCCATGTCTTCACATGATTCCCTCCCTTCACCTAGAAGTGGGGCAGGGGCGGAGCTAGTGAATTGCTAAAGCCTGGGCACACCACAGACCAAACTTTATTTTGGTCTATCAAACACTGTAGGTACCTTATATTTGGACAAACTTCGTATGCAATATACGCACTAATATTTCATTTTTTTTGATAAAGGCGTTTTTATTATCTCAAAATGTAGCATCAAGCCGATACAAAGCATTTAGAATATCACCTGGCCTCTGCATAACTAGGATGCACACAGCCAAACACCAAAGATCTGAGAAAAAGAAACAAGAAAAAAACGGTTGGTGGACCGATCCGGCGATTATGCAGTATACACACTAATATTACATAGATTATAGAAATAAATAAAAACACGAGATACAATACCAATTAACTCATTAGTTAAAAATGTATTGTTGGTAAATTGAACAATTTATCGATACTCCCTCCTTCCCAAAATATAAGGCGCGATTGACTTTTTACGGTCTTTGATGCACAACTTTGACCACTAATATATATCAAAGTATATGGATTGAACATGTATAAATGACATCGTTGTATTTGTCTTGCAAAACAATTTTATTTCATATGTATATATAATAATACATATTTTGGGAAGGAGGAAGTACATGATAGGTAAATAACTCAGCTAGCTAGGTATCGCTTGCCGCCGGTAGCCCTCATCCTTGGCGTTTACTCCCACTTTCTGCATCTTGGCTGTGGCGTTGCGCAGGTTGGGCACTCACCGGTGCTGCATGTGTCATGTGTGGCTACGCCAGGGCTTGCCGAAGTGCGGATGGTGAAGTGGTGATGAGGTCGAACCACCATTCGCTGCTCAGGCCGGGGCTCCCACTTTGACTATCGCTGCGAGCTGGGGTCGTAAGTCTGATTGGAGGCCCGACCATGCACCGTGTGTTGTGGTGTTGCCGGTCGCCGTGCCTCCACCAGTCCACCTCGCCGACCATCGCCTCCGACCCTAGGGTTGCTAGGGCACGTCGTGCGGCGTGGCGCACAGACCAACGGGCGAGGCGACGATGCACTGGATGCAACCTCCTGATTGATCTGCCGATTCACTTTTTTTCTTTTTTTTTCTTTTTGCAAGAGACCACGAGCTGACTACGTATTGTGGCCGGCCCATACTGGTTTGACGTGGGTAAGCCGAAAGGGGAAAAAAGAAGCCCAAACTAGCCAATTCCTCACGAAGTTGTTGTATTTTGGCGCGTACAGAAGTGAAATGGGCCAAGTGCAATATGTCGACTATCTTATATTTTGTTACTTTTTGTAAAATGAGATATCTTTGTAATACTATCAGCCGAGCACCTTTAGTCTTACACTCGGTTTTTAGGTTACGCCATCACGGAGCCGTCAACCACCTCCGTGATGGCCACGTGGGAGGAAACTTTACCGAACCTTCTGGACTATATATGCCGGGTTTCATCTGTAAGCCGAGTGTATTTCACCATTGCGCTTGGCTTACTATCCCCTAGTAGGAGGTCACATTTTTTTTCTTACCGTGCGTGCTGTTGGAGGTACTCGGCTTACTGTCACCTAAGCTGAGTGCCCAATATATTACACTCAGCTTACAGCACGAGACATGGCAACATGTTATTTTCCTGTAGTGTAATACACTATGAATTTTCAACATGCTTGCAACACCTTGTTGTTATATGCTAGCTTTTGACAAATTCTAGACTAGCCTATTGTTTCTGTAAGTTTTCTTATGTCCATTGGACCACCCCGGCTCAAAATCCCTAGCTACCGGAGGTGTGCTGACGTGACAACGTGTCTGCGTGGCATGCTACCCTTAACGGTTTTACATGCAGGGCACTATATATACTCCCTCCGTTCCTAAATATAGGTCTTTGTAGAGATTTTAACAAGTGACTACATACGGAGCAAAATGTGAATCTACACTCTAAAATATGTCTATATACATCCGTATATGATAGTCCATTTGAAATCTCTAAAAAGACTTGTATTTAGGAACGGAGGTAGTACAATACTGAACCCGAGGGAGTAATCTAGTGTCTTTCTTGCGGGAGAAGAAAGACAACGAATAACAGAAGATGCCTATAAAGGCGGCAGCTGGGCTCCTCCCTCCTGACTTGCCACCGACCGATCCATCGTCATCGTCATCGTCACCCTGAAAAAAAACAGGCAAACTTTCTCTCCTTGGATTCTCATCCGTCCGTCCGGCCGGCCGATCGACATGGGGCGCCGCTCTGGTACGTCTCCGGCCGATCGACATGGATTTGTTATATATTGCTCTCTACTAGCACCAGTTTGCTTCTTATTTGGGAACCGGAGAATGCCAGCCAACATCGTGACCAAATTTATTTACTCTCAGCCGGTTGATCAATGTAATTACCATTGCTACATGTGATGAATTCTCATGCGTGCAGGAGGAGGCGGCCGCGGTTCCCGCAGCACGCCACGACCCGCAGCCCCGGCACCCAAGCCGGCGTCAGCTTCGGCGCCGGCCAAGAACTCGTCTGCGCCGGCGCCGGCCCAGGCCCAGAGCTCCTTGCACGGATCCGTTAATGACGGTACGTCAGTTTCTAGTAGCCAGTGTTTCCTTGTAAATAGATTGGTCAACCGAAATTCTCAGTTCGGATGACGGTCGATGCGATGGAGGTGATGAACTGATGACTGATCATTTGATTTGTCGGCCAGGGTTCGGATTCGCCGTCGGGATGAGCATGGCGCGCTCTTTATTGGGCGGCCGCAGAGAGGAGCCGGCGCCCGCCTCTTCCGCCCACGCCCACGCCGAGGCCAACGCGTGCGGCATCCACAACCAGGACTTCAGCAATGTACGTGTTTGCGTTCATTTTTTGCAAGAATTGGACCAGTTTTTGCCATGATCGATCTAAATCTAGTTGTACGTACGTGGATGCATGTGCCTGCAGTGCATCTACACGAACGCGGGCGACATCAGCCGGTGCCAGAACTACTTCGACCTCCTCTATCAGTGCCGGCGCCGCGGAGGAGCAGGAGAGGCGTCCACCGTCGCCTAAGCCCTAAGATTTTCAGATCTAACTCGTCGACTTATCAACCAGCCAGTCAGTCATTGAATAATAGTCAACAACAAATGAGATAGATAGATAGATAGATAGATAGATAGATAGTCAGAGTCAGAGAGAGACACCGATATGTCTTGTCTTTGTAAACATTTGCATCTTCTCTCCATTAGCTGAATTTATAAATTTTGTATGGATTTTAGCACAAATTTGTTCATGCACTTTGGTTGTGCCATGGATGGATCGATGAACCGATGGATGAGTCAAATTTTTTTTGTTTGAACACAGTCCATCATT